GGTTTTTGTGTGTTTTTACATTTTAAAAAGCATATGTACCTAGAGAAATAATCAGTGTAAGAAACAAACCCCAAAAGAACAGAGTAGCAGGAAAACAAAATAAAATTTAACATATATGAAATTTTACTTATTTTGACATTAATTCACTTCCTACCTTTGATTTGTACTTGCACATATTGCGGTTATAGTGAACAAAAGTTGAGTGTGCTCTCTGGCCTCCAACTAGGACTGCCTTGATAAGGAGAAACAGCAAAAGCAATAAAAATTTTAAACCAAGATAATCCACTATGATTTTCTACCATTTCTATTTTTTCCACTTTTGTTAAAAAATGTAAATGATCCAGAAGATTTCCCCACGTATATTCTCTCACAACTAGAGCTTACTTCCTGACATATGTCTTTTAAAAGTCAGCCAGGCATCCTACTTCCCATTCATCATAACTGTGGTGTAAATACAGACAGGAGAATTTGCATTTAAAAAAAAAAGTCTTCAGCAGCGACACATATTCTTCTGAACGAGGAGACTCAAAGCTTCTCCTTTTGTGTTTCATATTCTAGAAATGCTAATTGGAGGATCATACTCTTTCTTGGATAACCAAAGCTTTCACTGCCTTAATGTGGTGAGGTGGGGGGGGGGGTGGTCTTTGAAGCCATCCTTTGTCTCTTATTTGACATCATTTTCCCCCTTCTTCTAACTCTGGTTGATAATTATGGTGATTTTTGAAAGCATCTTGAAGCTTGCAATTGTCATGCATGTTCACTCATCGACTAGATTGGGAAGAATTCTACTGTCACTTAATTCAAGCCAAGTTATTTAACCTCTCTGCATCAAAATCCTTCATCTGTAAAATGAAGGAGTTGGACTATGCAGACTATAAAGTTGTAAAATCTAGCTAAAGAGATTTACAACATGCAGTGCCCTCTTACACCACACAGTATATGATTATATCTGTAGATCTGTGGCTCTTTTTTACTGATCTCTTTCCTTTCTCCTTCTCTCTCTCTCTCTCTCTCTCTCTCTCTCTCTCATTCATCTGCTTTCTTGCAATATTTTCTTGGCAAAAGGAGAATTAATTTGACCTAAAGCTACTCCAGTGTCCTTGTCATCCAGGTGGCTTTGTGTCTCAGCTCTGCTTCCCTGACCCTGAATGCCACAGATTTGGCCAAGTGTGGAAACTGGCATGACAGGAGTCACAGAGGGAAAGTACCTGAAGCTGCCCTGAGAACTCTGTTCCCAGAAACCTTGTCTGTGGATAGAAAGACCAGGCAGGGCCTGGAGACCAGAGCTCCAGACAGTGTTTCTAGGGGATGCAGTGTCACTCTGCCTCATCTGTGAACTGTGATGTGGAACAGTCTGAGATACCATTTGTCCACTTGTTTGTTCACAGGTATACCGTCATGGACTATAAAGGAGCCTACAATGGTAAATAGCCTAAGAAGTATAATTTGAAGGTCAGGAAAATCCCCTCCGCTTCACATAGTCTCCAAATATCCCTCTTGGGATCCCTGTAATACTACCTGTTCTGGCCACACCTGTAAAGACTCAAACATGAAGAGGAGTGAGGACCTCAAGTCTTTTGTATTGTTAATTTCAATGAGATTGATTTCTCAGACCCTTTGTTTAAATTAAAAACAAAATGATGAAAAGTAGATTATTGGACCCATCAACAGCATTCGAACAAGAGCCTGATGTCTTTGCTAACACACATTTTGCCAGGAGGCTTCCTTCCGGGTCACCACACTAGAAGTTTTTCTCTTATCTCCTTTTCTTCATTGCTATTTCTTCTTCTTCCCCATGACTTCTGAACTGTGGAGGGATCCAGGGCCTGGTCCTCAGTCCTCTCTCCTCCACCAAAACTTTCTTCCTCGCCACTTTTCAATATATACCTCACAGTACAGAATACTTTTTGTTTGAAGCCTCTTTGTAAATAAGGTAGAAGAGCCTAGTATTTAGAACATGATTTCTCAGTCTCACTATTGACATTTAGAGCCCAATAAATCTGTGTTGTAAGGGCTGTCCTGTGCTTTGGAGGGTGATTAGCAGCATCCTTGCCACTATCCACCAGATGCTGGTAGCACCTCTCCAGCTGTGTCATCTAGAAATATTTCCAAACATTGTCACTTGTCTCCTTGGGGACAAAATCACTCCCTGCCCCATAAACCACTGATTTAGAATAACTTTGTATAAAACACAAAAACCCTTTAATAATGCAAATTATAAACCTTTGACTTAATTCAGCCAATTCAATATTTTTTAACATTTATAGCTCTTAAAGTGCTAGGAATCTGAACACCAGCCACAAAACAGTCAACAGTGGAATCTATAAGCCACGTTCTGTCTTGTGGATAAAAGAAGCTTGTGCCAAGTAGGACAAGAAAATGGATTTTTTTTTTGTCTTTAGCCTTACCATTTTCTTTCTACCATTTTCTTACCATTATTGGTAAGAAAAACAAAAAACAAAAAAACAAAACAAAACAAAACAAAACAAAAAAACACCACACACTATCTTGTCTTTAAAGCAGTGGTAAACACTATCCTACATTAAAATTCGTGGTTAGCTCTGCCACTTCTTGTTAATTGCATCCTGCTGAGAAAACTAAGGCTTAGAAGGGTTAATTTGGCCAAGTTCTGCTAATTACCCAAATAGCTTACTTCTCAGTCCTTCATGTTCTCTAAGAACCAGAGATAATTTAGGTGAATTGTCACTTTGAATTGTAGAGCTCTTAAAGCCTGTAAGTTTGTATTGTTATAGGCATCCAGAGATGAAAAAACTAAAAGTTTAGTGTGGTTTGGGGAGGTCTTCAGCTAAGATTGCCTGAAACTGTCTCTGGTAGCTCCCTTCCTGCCCACACCCACCCTATTTCCTTAATATGAAAAAAGCAGTCTGCCCTCCCTGATGTCTCCCCTCCTTTCCTCTCAACACTTTTGCTCAAGTATCTACCAGCTGCATTCTTCTAAACCTAAAAGAATGTAGATCCCATCATTTTAATTAATTAATTTCAAATTAGAAAAGTAATACATAAGCTTGATGAAAAATGTATAAAATGGTACCTAATAAAACTATGCCTCGGCCCCACCTTTGAACCCAGCTCCGCTCCTCAGATTTAACCACTAGTAACTGATATTTTAGGTCTTTTCGGAAATTTCCTCTGCATATGCAACTATGCATTTATGTATATAAATGTGTGTGTGTGTGTGTGTGTGTGTAGACTTTAAACCATTTAAAAAATGCACCTTTGATTTTTGTTTAAATATTTACATCTTAGAAACCTCTTCATATAAGCACATTTGAATTTGCCACATTATATTTTATAACTGCAGAGTATATCTACTGTAAGACTGTACCATAATTTGTCTAATCAGTCTATTATTGATAGTTTCTACTTTTTGGCTATTGCAATATTGCGATGAGTAGATTTGATGATGCTTTATTATTGTTGTTTTCTTTTTGATGAGAAGTGTTCTGGGCCTTAATTTTTTTCCTTTAAAAAGTAAAGTTTGATTGTTGAGGATTTTGTTATTATTGAATAACTAGAGCAGATATAATGAGCAAATCAATATGTATTTTAAGGAATTTGAAAAGTGCTTTATTATTTCCTGATATTCAATATTGAATAAGAGTGGATAGATATTTGCAGAAACATGGTTCAGTGTTTCAAGAATGTGTTTAAAATATAGCTCCCAAGACAAAATGAGCTTTGGAATTTCAGCATTCAAAACCTCAGTGACAGTTTACCTATAATGGCACACCTATCAGTGTTTATCTCAGGTTTTTTTCAGTAGTGTTGGGTCACTCTAAAGGAATTAGTCCTTGAAAACGGATATGATTAAAACTAGGCAATGAGGAACAATAAAGAGAAGTGCCCTGGGGACTCTTCCTATTATTCCTGAAGATAGTTCATTGTTTCTCTTGAGCTTTTTCTTCTTTTTAATCTCCATGATATTGCCATTTGAAAAATACTGTGGTATCATCACTTAAAACTTTACCTGTCAAACTGAATACAATCATCTCAGTTACCTTAAAGAACTGTGCAACATATCTGTTACTACACTATGATCACTGGAAGCAGATGTATTGCGGGATATATTTCCATATGGCATTCCAGATGTGTGGAGCCTTGGCTTACCAAAGAATTCTTTTACATTTCAGAGGAAAGACAAAAAATGAGTCCATATTTTCATCACTGGATAACACATTTGTTCTTCAGGCTTTAGGAAATGAGATGTACATCCTTTGGTGTTTTTTTTTTTTTTAATTTTTAATGATTGATAAAATGGCATCTTTATTGGGATTTAAATTGTCTTTAAAGAGGAATAGTTCTAATTGGCAGAAGAGCATAATAATGTACTTCTGATTGTTGCATAATTGCCTTTACAAAATCATCCCATAAAAATACTCATTATAAACTTGGCATTCAAGGAAAAAAGTCATTCATTAACTTGGAAATAAAATATAATTACAATTATAAAGCTTTGCGGCGATTCTGTTAGTAGGGTTGCATGCTAATTGCACCGTTTAAGCTTCTAATTTAATATTAGGTGAAAACATGATAATCATCTGAAGGGAAGCACATAAGAGTTTAAGGGTTGGAATGTTAAAAAAAGTTTCCTTTATATTTTGTGATCGCATTGGATTAGGAAGCAATATAGAGAAAATTTTCTGTGCATGAAAATAGGTCTTTATTTGGGTCGCATATAGAGGAATGTCCGTTCGTGTCTGCAGTCACAGCCAGGGAGTAAATTCAACAATAGCAGCGATGCTTACTTTTTGAGCCGGGCGCGGGCTGGGCTGTGTACCAACAGCCTCGTCAACTGCAGACGGAACTGCAGCATCTCTTCCTGCAGTAGGGCGTCAGCCATTGGCTCCTCGGTGACACGTGACTGATAGAGCCTTTTCTGTGTCTTTTCTCGCCCATCTGTGTGCAGGGCACTGATAGGCCAGGCTGATGCGCAGGCAATTTATCATCTTGATCTCCCACTGAGTCAGGGAGCTCTCCTGTCACCAGTATTGATTTCAGAGGATGGACTAAATTTCCTAGGATTTCCATTAAGAATTAAGAAAAAAGCTCTAAGCACGCAGGGTAGCCAGACAGACATGGATATGAGATGGCACTGTGAAAACTCGCAGGTAGCTTCTTCTCTCACAGCCGGTGCTCAGCACAACTTAGAACTGCAGCATGCAGGGTTTAAGATACCAGAAGCCTAAGAACAATAATAATGAAAATAAGAATAAACTCTTTTGGATAAACTAATTTTAAGATTTATGTTACATTGTTTATTTTTGGAGATTGCATGTCAAATTTATGCACGCTCTGTATGAAATGTAGAAAGGTTGCTTTAAATTTTTTAATGTCCTTAAACCCTGAGCATGGTTGCTTCTAGTTTTGTTTGCTGCTTTTTGTGAGCTTCAGAGGTTTTTTTTAGCATGCTTGTGGCAAAAACAACCAAAAATTTTGTGTGTGTGTATATATATGTATTAAGTTGGTTCAAGTAAAAGCATGAATAAAAGCTGCTTTCAATACTTGCCAGACTGCTTTATTATTGTTAATGACTTGGTGATAATTTTGTCTAAATATACTTAGATTCTGACCATGCATGCTTTTTGCGGCAGAGTGGGTTTTCGTTGAGAATTTGTAAAGCTGGAATGTCTGAATTAAATGTATGTTTGGTACAACAGAAAATGTATTAGTGGTCAACGATTAAACCTGATTAACTAATGGAAATATCTCATGATGGTAAGATTTAAGTAACATTTATTTACACTAATAACTTCTGCTTTCTGAAAAATAAAATGCATGTCTGGGATTAATGAAAGTGTTTATGTTTTTGAAATAGAAATTTTGGTTATTTCAAAGATAAACAGTAAGATTTTAAGTTTTAAAAATGCATCAAGGTGAAAGAATTTTTAAAATATATATATATACATACTTTAATTTATTTTAGCCTCTGAAATAATTCTAAACCTGCTATTTGTGTATGTGAGAGATCATGTGCATGTTTATGTGTATGTGACTTCTTTGGGGAATTGTTTGATACCCTCCTGGCTAGTCCTTATTCTTGTGAAGAGAGGAAAAGCCTTGGCATTCAGATATTTTCCTAGGCCCCTGGGAATTAGAGCCAGCAGAAGCAAGAGTAGGGCCAGATGGGACTGGCATGCTTGTCAGTGAGTACAGACAATAGGTGGGGGCGGAGCAGATGGAGAACAGAAGGAATTGCATCTCAGAAAAGGGGAGCCTGGAGGGGAAGAGCAGGCTAGATAGTGAAGGAAGCTGCCCTCTCTTTTCAAGGGAACACCTGACTGCATCTTCCTCTAATTATGAGAGAGAATGTCATGTCTGTTGTAACAAATATTTTTCATTAAACTAGGCAGCCCTTGCTTCATCGAGTAGGGAAGAAATCTTATGAATAGAAGTTGCTTCACCAGATTATAAATGATGTGTTGTCTATTGGTTGTTGGCTGTAACCTTTTTCTCTATGCCGTGTTCAGGAAAAGTAGGAGCAAAATTAAAATGAAGCTATTGTATCATTTGAGTTGGTGGTATCTAGATATAAATGGCAGTAACTACTAAACTTACATGCCAGACCTTCGATGATTCAGGCATCTATAGGGTTTGCTAACGTTTTCCCCTGAGTAAGCTTTCAATTCTGAAAATAATAAGAGCCCATGCTGACCAATCTACTATTATTTTACTTACCACTTATAAAATAGAGGTTCATTTCCAGAATAACTGCATGTTTTATTTATTTGTTGATTTTTTCAGGAAGCATGAGAGTTTTATTACCAATGCCTAGTTCAAATTCTGAAATGAAATTAATCTCAGAATTCTCTATCAAGCTTTCTGTCACCCAAATGTCCAGAGAACTAGGCAGTCTTTGCCCAGAAAGGTTAAAGGGCTGGGGAAAAAATGAAAATCAACTTACTTCTGAATTCTATAATTTTAATAATTCTTCCAAAATTTTAAGGTGAATTTAGACACAGTTTCCAGTCCTGAATGGAAATAAATTTGACCAAAATCATGCTGCCAAAATATACCAATAAAACACAAAGTTTAAAAGTTTAAATATACATTTTTTGATCCATGGATCACCCACAGCTCACTTAATTATTTGGTTGCTGGACCCTGCACATGGAGAGAATTTCCATTCTCCAAGAGTACTTTTGCCATGTTGCATGTTTCTCTTCACTTACCCTTTGAAACTTGGCTTGACAGAGAGAGAACCATGACCTGGATAAGAGAATAAAAACTTTACCTCTGACATCTTGAGGCATTCAAGATAATTTACTCAGATCATTTATACTAATTTCCCCAGAGTCGAGGAATTGAGCCAGTTTCTTATAATTTATGCAATCCTCTTCCTCCTTGCCCTTTTCTTAGAAATTAATGAAAGAGTCCACTAAGCAGCAAAACGTTCCTCACTTGGCAAATTCTGTCCAATTTTTTAGAAAGAAATAGAGTCTCCAGACAGAATTTTGGGTAGATATTTGTAGTTTTGAGTGTTGACTGCACTGGTATTCCCTAAGTTGAGATAACCCATTGTTAAAGAAGAAATGTTTTCACTGACTTTGTACAATCAAGGTTGCCTATAAAAACCATGTAATCCTTACAGACAAAGTGGAATGAAACTAGAAGAGCCCTGAAGTGGCATTAAATGTCTGGTCAAAATAGCATTTGCGCTCAACTGCCAGGCGAATTCCTCCCCAAGACATTAACCAGGGAAATGCTTACATATTTACATAGTAATTAGTGATGTAGCATTGCGTATTAAGGATATTTGGGGTAGTTATGATGAAATGTTACTGTCTGTGTGCCTTCCATATGCTCCTTTAATTTACGAAATGTGCTCATCCCACAGCATCTGGGTGCATTTATAAACTACAAGTGCAATCAATTAACTATGTGATGGATGCAGTAAGCAGAATGCTAACTGTTGGGAAAAGCCCTCTTGTCTTGAACTTTGTAGTTTTCAAATGGGAAGAAGAAAAAAAAAACATGTAGCCAAAGACTTTTAGCCATTGTCTATATTAAATATTTTAAGAACTAAGCTTACTCCACCCATTTGGAAAGAATTCATTTGAAACAAGAATTTTTCCCAGGCAAAATTGGTGCCTTTAATTCCAGTATAGAAGCACTGGCAAAATTCATAGGTGAACAGTGTTAGTGGATATTTAATTTTACTTAGACCAAGTGATGCCTTTGATTATTCAGTCTTCTTCATTTCCCATTTCCTCTACTTAGTCTTTTATTTCTCTGCTGCTTTACCCGTCAGTTGTGGATTCAAGTGCTGTTTGCTCTAGACCTCAATTTTACTACACAATAAGCTGTATATAAATTCAGCAGTGTAATGACACCAAATTCTGCTTTATACATTTTTGTGTATATTTAGGCTTTTGATTTCTTTGACTTCTACTAAGATTACCAGGTTGACCTGGAAAGATTGTTTTTACTTTCTGCTATTTTATTTTCATTTACCTGACAATTGGTATTTGAAGACTCCCTTCCCTCATCACTCTGGCACAGAGAATGGAGCCAAACACAGTAGTATCTTGGAGAAGAGCAATTTCCAGTATACAGAATAATTAGGAAAAGCAGACAATTATAAACTGATGGATAGCTCTAGTTTCCTTAGCAAATGGAGACAGTAATATATGAGATAACTTCAATTTTTGTGTAATAAGTTATGAGTTGTTATCCCCATACATTCCTCTTTGCTTCTCAAATTTTTCCGCTTCATTTGGATTCATTTGATTAAGCATTAATAACTGTCTCAGAACTATTTTCCAAAATTAGTTATATGCTTCTGTTTTCATTGTTGTGGTATGCGCATGTGTGAGTGTGTGTGTGTATATATATGTATATATACATATACATATATAATTATTATTTATTTTTAAAAATTCCATTATTTATTTTTAAAAATTCCAATACAATTAGCTTGCAGTGTTGTATTAGTTTCAGATATACAATATAATGATTCAGCAATTGTAAACATTACCCAGTGCTCATCACAATAAGTGTACTCCTTTCTTAAAAATGTATTTAGAGAGAGAGAGAGAGAGAATGCTTGCAAATGAGTGAGTGGGGGAGGCGCAGAGAGAGAATCCTAAGCCAGTGCCACACTGTTAGTGCAGAGCCCTATGCAGGGCTTGATCTTGCAAACAATGAGATTATGACCTGTGCTGAAATCAAGAGTGGGATGCTCAACTGACTGAGCCACCCACATACCCCTAAATAAGTGTACTCTTAATGCCCTTCACCCATTCCACCCATCCCTCCTCCCAACCTCTCCTCTGGCAAACACCAGTTTGTTCTATTTAAGAGACTGTTTTTTGGTTTGTCTCTTTATTTGTTTTGTTTCTTAAATTACACATTTCACATATGGGTAAAATTATATGGTATTTGTCTTTCTTGGACTGACTGACTTCACTTAGCATTATACTCTCTAGATCCATCCATGTTGTTGAAAATAGCAAGGTTTCATTCTTTTTATAGCCAAGTAATATTCCATATATACATATATATATATATATATATATGTAGTGGTATATAGTTTTTGAAACTTCATGTGAAGCCACAGTGTAATTTATTTTAAGTTAGTGGATTTGTTTGTTTGTTTGCTCTTCTTGTTGGGTTTTTTTGTTTGTTTTTTATTTGAGAGAGAGAGTGCGAGTTGGGGAGAGGGCAGAGGGAGAAAGAATCTTAAGTAGGCTCCATGCTCCATGCATAGCCAGATGTGGGGCTCAATCCCATGACCCTGGGATCATGACTTGATATGAAATCAAAAGTCAGATGCTAAACTGACTGAGCCACCCAGGCAGCCCTATAATTATTTTTTTGATAACAGATGCTCAAATACTTTTTTTACTCTTTTCCCAGAACTGTAATATAATGATGAGAATGACTTGAATGCTATCTTAGAGGACCAAAAGGAATCAGTCTCCTAAAGAAGGCAGTCCTGAAGTCTGTATGTTCTCATCTTTGTTTCCACTGCTTTTTTATTAAAACATGATGGGTTTTGTAGGATACCACAGTCTTGATTCTCAGACTTTTGACCAAAAATATGATTATATAAGTTAACAGCCTAGACATATTGGTAACTTCATGGATAAAGTGGGGTTTAATGCTATGG